AAAAAAAAAAAACAGAAATATTAGGCAAGCATTGTGGCAAATGCCTACAGCCCCAGATACTTGGAAGGCTGAAGCAAGAGGACTGCTTGAGCCTAAAAGTTTGAAGTTGCTGTGAGCTATGATGATGCCATGGCACTCTACCCAGGGCACCAACAGAGTGAGACTCTGTCTCAAAAAATAAATGAATAAAATTTTTAGCATCTACTATTTTAAACAATCAATTAAAACAAAGAAATTTTCTTTTCTTTTCTTTTTTTTTTTTGAAAATTTCACTTTGTCACCCTCGGTAGAGGGCTGTGGTATCATAGTTCACAGCAACCTCAAACTCTTGGGCTCAAGCAATCCTCTTGCCTCGCCTCCCAAGTATAGGGGACTTCAGGCACCCACCACAACACCCAGCTATTTTTAGAGATGAGGTCTCCCTCTGGATCAGGCTGGTCTCCATCCTCTGAGCTCAGGCAATCCACCCACCTCGGCCTCCCAGAGTGCTAGGATTACACGCATGAGCCACCTTGCCCCACCTAAAACAAAGAAATTTTAACCACAAAACCCTATGAAACCCATGTGCCAACTAAAGATACCCCTCTCACTCAGAGCCATGCTTCCTCCTACTCAGACAGGATAGACTGGACTCAAATCAGACAGAGCTGGCCTTCCCATCCTAATTCCACTGCTTACTATCTGTGACCTTGGGCAAGTAAGTCATTTTGTCTAAGCCTTGACTTGCCCATCTGTAAAATGGAAAAAAGCACAGTACCTACTATAATTAACAGTCAGTGGCATAAATTCTCAATGAACATTAGGGTTTTTCATTATTTTCCCTAACAATCCATCCCTGCAGTTCTGGGAATGGGATGTAGTGATTCTGATACTTAATTCTCTGCCCAGGCCAAGTCATCACTTCACAGAAAAAGTCGAGCCCCTCTCCCCCTTTCAGGGGCTTGAGACATCTCCCTGCCTCCCTCAGCCCCAGAAGGAAGGAAGGATACATCCTGTACAATGCGCTGAGTGGCTGTGTTGGGCGACTGAGAGTCTTTGAGCAGCTGCAGGACCTGCTGCAGGCCCTGCTCATCTGGCTGCCAGTCCATGGTGCAAGGTGAGCTGCGGGGGTAGGGGCCAGAGTCAGTGCTGGGTCTCTCTGGTTCTGTGAGACCCAGGTTGAGCCCCTGAAGCCGCCGTAGCCGCATGATGACCGGACAAGCGGTGGCCTCCAATCCATGCCTGCCTGAGTGCGGGGTCCCCACCAGCTGCGCCATCCTCGGCCGCGCAGTTGCGGGCACGGGAGTGCAGGAGGTGGAATGTGGAAGCAAGCCACGGGCGGCTGTGGTGGCGGCGGCGGCGGCGGCGGCGGCGGTACCCCGCGGATCCTCATCCGGCCCACTCCAGAGCCCTCGTCCCAAGATGGCCCATGTTGACGCCCCCATTTGTGAACCCTAAGGCTTCCACCTCCCTCACAGCGGCTGGGCAAACGCTCAACCCCTAACCGAGATAGCACTCCTGCCTCCGTCGTCTCTTGGGTGCAGGCATAGTCCCTGAAGATTCCTCTTCTCCTGAAATCCGGCCCTCAAGCTCCGCTTTACCAGTGGCCTCCTGCCCTGGTTTGGTTCCTGAGTTTCCCCAGGTGCACCGACCCAAGACGATAGATACGATCGTCCCGCCTCTCCTAATCCACCCCTGTGAGCTCATCAGATGCCAAACACCCCTTTCCTGGCTTAGCCAAACCCTGTCCAGAGATTCCCCTTAATCAGGCCCAGAGCAGTCCCCAGATGGATCTCCCTTGCTTCTTCAGGTTGAGAGCCACTCAAGCCTGCCTAGCCCACGACAGAAACTCCCTGGACGGGTCCCTGTCGACTTCCCCAATCAGGTCTGGCCAAACCTCCACCCCAGTTAGAAGTAACTCCTGCTGACAGATCACTTCTGTGTCCCCCAACCAAGTTCGGCCAAGACCCCTACCACCTCGAATCGGAAACCCCCTTGGTCCGATCCCTGCAGCTTCTCCCAATTAAGCCAGGCCGAACACCCCAGCCCCCAGCACTCCTCACAGCGGATTCCTGGCAGTCAGACCCAGCAGAAGTCTGACATCCCTCCCTATCAGGGCCCAACAACGACCCCCCAACTTTTCAATGTGGCCTCCCCCAATCAGACCCAATCAAACCCCGTAGAAAAAGGACCCCACACACACACCCTATCCTCACTTCATTCCCCAATTAGGCCCCTAAGCAGTCCCGAGACACTCCCCCCAATCAGATCCCCTCCAGTCCGACCCTAGCCGCCCCATGGCCCTCTTTTTGAGGCACCTCGACCTGGCCTGGCTCCGAGGCCCCACCCCCTAAGCGCTGCTCAGTTTCCCCCCTCCCCCGCCCGGCCCGTTCCAGCTGCCTCGCAAATCGGGCCCAACCGGGTTCCCGGCCTTTCCCGGTCGGGCTCGGCCCCGACTCCCGCGCAGGCCCGGAGCCCTGAGGGGTCGATGCAAGCCGGGGCCAGCAGGTCGGACTCTGAGACCCACTTACCGGGCCCCGGGCAGCAGCGGCGGCGCCTCGCTGTGAGGCTTCTCCAGAGACTCGCGCGGAAGGAGAGAGTCAAAGAGAGGGAATTAAAAAAAAAAAAAAAAAGCTGCCGTACATGAACAACTGCGGCTTCCGTACTTCGTTCAAACTGGTCCCGCCGAGCCAATCAAAAGGTTCAGCCTTCACACGTGGTCGGGGAAAAGACCCGAACCTAGTCGAGGCCGGTCACGTGAGGAAAGAGTTGCAGCCTTGTTTGGCCTCTCTGGCCTTGCGGTCCTCCCAGCATCTCGGTTTCCTCAGCATCTCACGCTGTCCGGACCGCAGCGCTTTGCTGGAGCCAAGAGTTGGTGTCGCGTAGGCCCTGCGCCATTGGGACGTTGTGAATGTGTAATGCATTTATTTGGAAACCCGTCGGCCAGAGCCAGCGGTGCCCTAGCCACCCGCTCCTCTAAAAACTGAACTGTGCCTCCCTTCCCTCTCCATAGGTCCTTGGGAGGAATACAGAGAAGAGTTGAGGGACTGAGCCTGGGAGGACGTTATACCACAGACACAAAGGAAAGAAAGTAGAAGGGGTGCCTGAGATGGACTGGGGTCCTACAGAAGCCTCTGCTACATTTTGCGTTATTTTCCCATGCAGTTTGATAGTTTTTACAAGGAGATCAAAAAACCCTCAAGGATGAAAAGCTTTTTTTCCTTCCTCATTCTTCAGAATCAAAGGGATATACAATTTTAAGTAAAATAAACTTTGGAGCCGGTCTAAAGAACAACCTGAGGAATTTTTCATGAAGAAAAATCTCCGTGATCCTGGAGGGGTGTGAAGACAGGAGAGTACCGTTTTTCCTTCCCATGAGAGCAGAGTGGATAAGAAAGAGCTGGAATGGCCCAGTCTCCCCTGGTGGCCCTGCCAATAACTAGGAGGACGACTGGCTGCCACTCAGAGCCTCAGTTTCCCCACTTGTCAAATGAGCAAAAGAATAGTTTATGGATAGAGATAATCCCAGTTAAGCATTCCTGGCCAGGCATACATTTTCCTTTTAAAACGTGGCTTTTACCCAGCCAGACTTAGGCTGTGCTTTTGCTGTATTCAACTCCTCCCTAAACCAATATTTACTGAACCAACGGGGACTCTAATCCCAAAAGACAACCCAGGCCTGCCCAGAGGGACCTTTTGACCCTCTGAAAAGGCCCAGGTCAATATTTGCGCCTGCCTGTTGGAGGGGGACAGCTTTCTTAGCACATGTTCCACATACAAAGGAAGTACCCGCTCCATTCATTCAAGAAAAGCAAATACCAGGCTTCCCAAGCTAGAGAAGGGTCTTTTGGTGACTAATTCCACTCTGAGAGTCATCCAAGACAACCTAAAGGAGCAGGTGGGATTGCCACTACTGCCAGCTGCACTGGACAGAAATCTAAATTGCAAGACACTCTGGAGGTATCACATTATCAGACTTCAGGCTATACTATAAATCTATAGTGATCAAAACAGCATGCTACTGGCACAGGAACAGAGCAGTAGATTTATGGAACAGAATAGAGAACCAAGAGATGAACCCAGCTACTTAGCATCATTTGATCTTTGACAAGCCTATCAAAAATATTCAGAGGAGGAAAGACTCCCTATTTAACAAATGGTGCTGGGTGAACTAGCTGGCAACCTGTAGAAGACTGAAATGGACCCCCACCTTTCACCATTAACAAAAATTGATTCTCATTGGATAAAATATTTAAACTTAAAACATGAAACTATAAAAATACTAGAAGAGGCTTGGCGCCTGTGGCTCAAGTGGCTAAGGTGCCAGCCACATACACCTAAGGTGGTGGGTTCGAATCCAGCCCAGGCCTGCCAAGCAACAATGATGGCTGCAACCAAAAAACAGCCGGGCATTGTGGCAGGCGCCTGTGGTCTCAGCTACTTGGGAGGCTGAGACAGGAGACTTGCTTGAGCCCAGGAGTTGGAGGTTGCTGTGAGCTGTGATGCCACAGCACTCTACCCAGGGGCACAGCTTGAGGCTCTGTCTCAAAAAAAAAAAAATACTAGAACAGAGTGCAGGGACAACACTTGAAGAAATCGGCCTGGGAGAATATTTTATGAGGTCCCCCCAGGCAATTGAAGCAACATGAAAAATACATTACTGGGATATGATCAAACTAAAAAGGTTTTGCACAGCCAAAAGTACAGTAAGTAAAGCAAACAGACAACCTTCAGAATGGGAGAAGATTTTTGCACTTTACGCTTCTGACAAAGGTCTGATAACTAGAATTTACAGAGAACTCAAACTAATCAATAAGAGAAGAATAAATAACCCCATTTCTATGTGGGCAAGATACTTGAACAGAAACTTCTCTGATGAAGACAGGTGCATGGCCTACAAACAAGAAAAAATGCTCATCATCCTTAATCATCAGAGAAATGCAAATCAAAACCACTTTGAGGTATCTCTAACTCCAGTAATATTAGCCCACATTGCAAAATCCCAAAACTACAGATGTTGACATGGATGCAGAGAAAAGGGAACACTTCTATAGTGCTGGTGGGAATACAAGCTAATATGGCCTTTTTGGAAAGAAGTTTGGAGAACACTCAAGGAACTAAAAGTAGACCTACCATTTGATCCTGCAATTTCTCTACTAGGTATATACCCAGATGATCAAAAATTATTTTACAACAAAGACATTTGCACCAGAATGTTTATTGCAGCCCAATTCATAACAGCCAAGACATGGAAACAGCCCAAGTGCTCACCAACTCATGAATGGATTAACAAATTGTAGTATATGTATACCATGGAATACTATGCAGCCGTAAAAGATGGAGACCCCACATCTTTTATGTTTACCTGGATGGAGTTGGAACATATTCTTAGTAAAGTATCCCAAAAATGGGGAAAATAAAAGTATCCAATGTGCGCGATACTACTATGGAATCAATATATAACCGCCTACACAATCATACAAATGGCAAAACATAACTATAGTCCATGAAGTAGAAGGGAAGAGGAGAGAGAAGGGTGGGGAGAGGGGATATGAGAGAAAGGAGGGCATTGGGGAGGGAGACCTCACCTAATGTGCGTGATGCAATGGTACATTTCAAAACTATTAAGAAATGAATATAATTGTGATGGATGTGTTACTTGGTTCAATGTAAACATTTCACATTGTATGTCGAAGCTGTACCCTGAACCCCATAAATGCATCAATGTGCAAAGTTATGATTTAATAAAAAATAGTTATTTTTTAAAAATTGCGAGACACGTGCAGAAACCGCCACCTACGCATGCGCAAAAGCCCCCCCCTCGCTTCCTTCCGCTCCTAAGCCCTAGAACTACAAATCCCATACTGCCACACGCTAGGGTTTCTGTGTTTTGGCTGGGAATCAAATGTGGTGAAAGTCTGGATCGCCCCTGAATATCTGTTAAGCGGAAGGAAAAATGAGTTTGGGGATGGGGCTAGCTTTGGTCCTCCTGTGGAGGCGTAACGGTAGGAGTTTTCGGGTAAAGATTGGGGGCTGCCCTAGAGAAGGCTGGGAAGCGAGTTTGAGATGCAGGATACAGTTTGTTAATATTCATCCCCTACTTTTAATATTGCATGTTTCCAGCAACCACGCACGCGACCTGGGGAGTTATTGCAGAACAAAGTGGTTTCTGCTTCATGTATGGTTTACATTGCTCGCCCTCATGTATTCACGGAAGTCGTTCTTCCTTTCTAAAGCTGGTGAATTTGAGTGCTGAGTCAGGACAAGTTTTGCGTTTTTGTTTTCCTATTTAAGTACCTGCTGTATATCAGGTGGTTTCCAAATGTTAACTCACGCAATTCTTACACTTGGTGCTTGCCAAACTTAGTTCAATTAATAGTGCTTACTGCAAAAAGAAACTTCAGAAACTTGTGCCCAACCGAGAATCTGAGATGAGACACAAATGGGGTCTCAGTTTACAACAGCCTCCCTGCCTAAACATTTTTCACCTCACAGCCCCCCACCCCCAGTTAAAAGGTCAGGATTTGGGGGGCCAGGGGCGCAGTGGCTCTCGCCTGTAGTCCCATCTACTCGAGAAACTCAGACAAGAGGATTGCATGAAGCCAAGGGTTTAAGGTCTGAGGCTATGGAACTTGAATCCTGGCAACATAGACTGTCTCAAAAAAAGCCAGGATTGGGTGGCGCCTGTGGCTCAAAGGAGTAGGGTGCCAGCCCCATATGCCGGAGGTGGCGGGTTCAAACCCACCCCTGCCCCCCCAAAAAGCCAGAATTTTCCAAATACAGCCCCCAAATGCTACCTAACATCCTCACCCAGAAAAGCACTGAAAGCTGTTTTAAACACTATCAGGGTTAGACTATACAAATATCACACTGTCTTTAGAATTTGACTCTAGAGATGTTTCCATATTTTACCCCTATTTTATAGATGAAGAACTTGGACCAGGAAAGGCTGTGACTTATCCAAGCTCACACAGGCAGTAGGCACCAGACTAGTGTGAAGCCAGGGCTGTGTGACTCAACAAAAAGTGAATTTGATTCTCCTCCCCACTTTAAACTTTTCCTAGGTCAGCTGGTGCCTTTTAAGGGAGGTGTCTGGACTTTCAACTCCTCCTTCCTCATGACACTAAAATAGAGGCTGAGCACCTGCAGGGGCGACCTACTTCTCCCACTTGTATTTCTTTTTAAAGATCCAGCCTCTCCTGGTGGCTTTGGGGAAGAGGTAGGGATAGCTCCATAAGCTTCCTGTGTTCCCTACCCCTTCACTCCATTCCCAAGTCCAAAGTCATACACGGCCCAGCTCAGCATCTCAAAGTATGAGGGAGAGACTTTTTTTTCTTTCTCTTTTTAAAGAGACAGGGTCTTCCCCTTGTTGCTCAGGATGGAGTAGCTCACTGCAATCTAGAACTCCTGGGTTAAAGCAGTCCTCCCCCCTCAGCCTCCAGAGAGGCTGGACTGTGTAGATCAGGCGTCCTCAAACTATGGCCCACAGGCCACATGCAGCTGCCAAGGACATTTATCCAGCCTGCCGGATGTTTTTGCCACCGCTGCCTGTCCTACTTAGCAGCTGACCAGTCCCGGGGCCCGCAGTCCGGCCCTCCAATGGTCTAAGAGACAGTGAACTGGCCCCCTGGTT